CACATCAAACAATAGACGATTTAATTCTCTAGAAGGTTGTATATTCATTTTTAAGATTCATCTTTGATGTTTCGCACAGTCAGTCTAGCAGAAAAAGCTCCAAACTCCGTAACTGTACCTTCAAAAAATCGCTTTTTTGCTGAAAACCTAGCTGAAAATCACTTATTCAATGAAACAAGGTATACCAAAAAATTGAGCAAGAAATTTTCTACAAGATGATGTTTTTTTTAATGATAAACAATGATTTTTTAGATGGAATCAGAGTGAAAAATAGACTTTGAAAAAGGTCATTTTCTCCTATTTTTCACCCATCTTAATTAGCGACATCCGGTATTTTCTAGTCTTTCTGGTGAAAAAAATAGCAGATTTATTTGTAAGTTACAGTCTCATAGAGCGCGAAATTCTTCATTTTTTGGTGTGTAAACTAATGATTTGAACTTCGGATTTCATACTGGACTAGTCAAAACCTTTTTTAAGTGCTAGAAACTTCGGTGGACTTGGAGGTTTATGTATTAAAGCCACTAGCAATTAAAATACTACTATAAGACTGACTGACTGTGTACTATAAGACTGACTGTGCCAAACATCAAAGATGAATCTTAAAAATGAATATACAATCCTGTAGAGAATTAAATTGTCTGTCGTTTAATATAGTAAGGAATTTCTTTTTCTGGAACGATCTGTAAATTCATCGTTCTAGAAATCGTTTCAGAACTTGTGGGACACCCTTTATATACTACCCATAGTATACATCCCGGAATATTCTAGAATATCACAGCTCTTGGAACACTTCAGAATACCGCATCGTCTAAGAGCATTCTGGAAGACCGCATAATATTCGAACTAGAGATTCATCCTAAAAAGGCTATATTTGATAAAAAGATTAATGCCTAATCTACAACAAATCAATCTTGGTGAATCATGTCATATCGGTCAAGATATTCTAAATAATAAAGATGGTCAATCATTAAAGCTAAACAGTGTTTGAACATTAAATATTCAAAACTATGAGTATGATTATCCTCTTACTCATTGTCTTTTATTATTATTTCCAAATTTGTGTGAATTAACAATTCATTTCCAGCTACTAACTCAAATTATTGATCATTTAAGTCAAGACTATACTCTTTGTAAATAATTACGTTGACTTCGTAAATTAAATATGATACAGATATCCGATTGGAAAAAGTTTTATGAATTATCTAGCGGCCTTTAGATACTTTCAAGCTTTAGATTCGTTCATTGCTGAAGTTATCTACTTGATAGTTTCTTTTTTATTGTATCTTCTTGCTTTTGAACTTATTGAATGAACCAGTACTTAAGTCGGAATATATTTATCTAGTAACATTATTACCCAATCAAGGATTTAGACAATTATCGACCTAATAATATGATTGCTCTACATTTCATTCGTTCTTGCCAAAGATTATTTCCTTTACTTCATCAATGATTTCCTTCTTTGATGAAGATAAATGTATGTTGTAGGCAAACTTGAAATCCAGACGAATTCCGAATTTGCCTGGGCAAAATTAGAATAAAGGACACCGCCGATTTTTGCGAAACTTTGACTAACAGGAAACTAATTCTACGGCTAACTGTAGTATTACTTGGGGCATATCAGCCTTCTAGTATTTTTTAAATTCTTTCCTAAAAACAATATGTAAAGGTATTTGCATCACAAAACCAATTAATTGAACTTTCGGTACATTTCGAATCACCAACTTTTAAATATAATGTTAAACTAAATGCCCTAAAAAAAGTGATCTATGTACAAAATGTGTTTTTTTGTTTTTTTAAAAACGTATTTACACACAGGTCACATTTTTGGAACATTTGCAGTGATGCTTATATCTCCATCAAAACTCATCAGAAAATGCTGGGAGACGTCTCATTTTGAAGAGAAGACTTTCTTCTATCAGACTCTGTGTAAGAAAAGATTTTAAATGCATACAAAAGGAAAGAAAATATATATACGTACTGAATGTGAAAAAACAGGAAGAAATATGAAATACAAATTATAAATCGAAAATATCGGTTTCTTTTGTGGAATATAAAAGCGACAGAAGCATTATTTTTAATAAAGGACCATGTTTACATAATTTACTTCTGCTAGTAGCATGTACAATTAAGACAGAATGTATGTTTTTACTTTCTCCTCTTTAAAAGAATGTTTTTGTCTTTCTCCTGTTCTGAGTATTCTTCTTACACACTTTGGAGTTCCATAAATGATATCACTTGACGCGTAGAAAGATTGAGACAAACACTTTGAAATATAGTTAGCCTTATATCGTTATCTTCTTGTTTCGTCCCGTATTTTTTAATTAGCTCTCGTTTCGTCGAGTCTCATTTCGCCTCACACTTGTTTCGTCCTGTTGATTTTCTATCATTCTACTCATTTTATAACTATTCATTTTTGTCTCTCAACTGTGTACTGATTAATATTAATATAATTAGTTTAGACGGTCATGTTGGCTGAAGACTGGAGTGGAGTCTTAGTTTTGGCTGAAGAATTGTTAGCCAAAAGTGGAATCTCAGTTTTGGCTAGCCAAAAGTGGAATCTTAGTTTTGGCTAGGCAAATCTAAGATTTGATTTGTCTTAGGAGCAAGAAGATGACAAAAAAATCATGATGCAACATTACAACATCTTCTTGTACAAACTCTTTTTGTTTAGTTCAAAAATACAATGACAGAAAACTACGTAATGAAATCGTTGAACGAACATATCCAAACAGATCGACAATTAAACATAAAATCTACGTCATCTATTGCACTCAAGTTTGATCAATGAAACAACCAAATGCACTTATTAATTTGAATACAGGCGTGTTACAGTGGCTAGGACATCTAACAGGTGTTTTATCATCGTCAACTGTAATCGGAACCCCTAGTTTTATATACTGAAAATCGTTCAAGTGAACTCTATTTGACAAATCGAACAGCATTAAGAAAGAAGATTCAATGGACTCATGGACAAATCAATGATATTACATGCTTTAAGCTATTTTGGATGAGGCTCGATAGTTGACCAGTACAAACTCTCACATGGAAATTGGGAAAGAATAAACCAATGGAAAACACCTTTTACATGTAACACGAACGAATGGATCGGACAAATTCGATTTGCGAGTAGCAATGACGAACATATCGGTTTAACCATAGCAGATAACAATAACAATTGGAGGTTTGAACTTCGTGAGTACCGAACAATGGAAATGTTACATCAAGTTTGTTTAGATGAAAGTTCTTTGACCGGATGTTTAGTTTGTCTTCCACACGATGAATGGTTAATTGTTCATAAAGGAACAAAAACACTAGAAATTAATGACAAAGTTGGTGGTACAAAGAAAACGGTTACGTATAACTCGAATTTAACTAGCGCTGGTCTATTTGATCAAAACTGTTTGGTTATTTCAACGTATGAGAAAATTTGCTTCTACAATTTGTGAATAGCAGTGATAGCTTTTCTTCAATGAATTTCGTTAAATTTAGACCAATTATTTTCACTTTCTTCGCCCATATTTACAATTTGCTTGTTCAATATCAGCATAAAGACATTAAACAAAGGACGGGAAACGATCTCTGTAAGGAAATGACCAAATATGAATTTGAACAGAGATGACCGAGTCACTACGTATACGTCATTTTTCATGGCCCAATAGGTTTAATTTCCACAAAGTGGTTTCAGCCACTCGTAGAGAAAAAATACTTCACACTTCTTTATATTACTGAAAAAGGTATGATAAAAATACAAATATCTAGTTTTTCTGATAAGTTTTGACAAGTTGGTGTTTGTATTTTTATCGTATTTTATGAACAAAAGATCGTATGGATTGCAAATACATCTCAAAATCTTCATCCATTCGACAAGTTCCTGAACTCTGGACAACTCACCGTTCGAAAATTCTAAGAGAAACAAAACGTGACGATAGCAGAGTCAGCTGACCAAGCCATTGACTCCCATACTGAAGAAGATATTTTAGATCATCTACTAACGTAACGAAACTGTTATATTTCCATTTCAGTCGCTAGAGAACTCGGCTGATCTACTCAAAACTGTGTAAATCGAAAAGGATTTTGAAATTTGTTTTGCTTACAAAAAGACATCTTTCTTTTACTGACTTTCGCTTGCCGAAAACTCCAGATTTCCCATCTCCTTTTTGTATCGAAAGTTATTCCACAAAATGGGCACCGACCTACAGCTGTAACCGGATTGACCGGTAACCGATCCGATCCGATTAAATTTTTCCATCAGCCGATATTTACCGATTTATTTTTCAAAAAAATATTTTTTTGGGGGATTTTTTTTCCTGCAAAAAAAGCGTGAAAAACGTAGAAAATATTTCTGAATGAAGCTGTAGTCAGTCCAAACTTTAACCTCGCACCTGAAGTCAGTATGTTTTTTAACAAACTTTCTCTGTTATTTTCTCTTTTGACGGTTAGTTTCCGTTTCGTCGAAAACTCATTCGCATACCGCTACAGCCACCTTTGAAATTTTTTGAAGTATATACTTTTACACTGACTACTTTTCGATGAAATGGGAACCGATTTTTTTTACCGATCTCATGCTAATTTCTGATCGACCCGTCCGATCCGATTTCAATTTTTTCAAGCGGTTACAACTCTGCACCGACCTCTGGATTTGAAAAGTATCGTAGTAAAAAAGTAACATTGTAATAATTAAAAAAGGAAAGAACAATAGACAAATAAAGCCGAAACTAGGTTTTCTTGCAGTATAGATTGATAACCAATTTCTTTCCAATGGTCTGATTAGTAAAGGAGGCACTAAACAGAGTTTGGAGCCTTTTTGGTGTTGGTTGTTTGCAACTCCTTAGTCACTTTATTCTTTTACTTGAAAAAACTATTCTAAAAATATACATATTAGTGGTAATTAATTGACCCATTCGTTTTCTCAGAAAAACATGTATTTGATAATGAGTAATTGTGAGAAAGATGCTTTATTTGATATAGCGGAGCCTTCGCAAAGAGCAAAAATGTTTGCTCTATACAGTTGCTGTTGTGTATTCCTCATACGACGTTTGATGCCCCAGAATGCGACCAAGCAGCGCTCCAAGTTTTAAAATCAGTTTTCCTATAGACAGCGGTAATGTTGCTGGATAAATCTCTGCGTGATTGAGTAAAACCAGTAGAGCTAGTAAAGGCGGCGTTTTATTTTTAGCGGATGCGTCGCGATAAAGGCCAACAAGATTTTCAAAAAATTGTTCTCGACTACCCTCTCTATCAGCGGGTTCCAATCTTACTCGAACGAGCAAATTTTCTTCACCAGACATCCAAAATGTATGTGGAATTTGTGGTTGAACAACAAGTGGCGAACAAGATGAATTACAATAGTTTGGCTGTGTTAAGCTAGAAAGGTAGTAACCCATATTACCATTTAAAACTGTAAATGTCTCGGTCTGAAACACGTGGATATGTGGTACAGGTGTACATATTCTCTTTGAAGGCGGTTGAGCATCACCACAGGGACCATTTGCGCGAATCAGTACTTCTATTTCAAAATATGTATAATTGGTTTGAAACGATCGGACAGTGAAATGATACTGATCAGTATTATTCAGAATCGATGTTTCAATACGTGATTGACCAGCTGTACGACTTCGTATGATCTAAATCATAACATATGATGTAACGGTGACGTGGAATGCTACTTTTCCATGTTTCTCTGTAACTGATTCGTCATTACTTGAAAGAACAAAGTTCTAACTTAAGTGCCATCCATATCAGGCAGAAGGAAGAAAAATTTAAACATTAAGAAAAAGGTTATTGTTCATCAAGAAAAATATATTTTTTCATGAGTCAAGTACATGAATAAATAGTTTTTGAGCACTCGATCCATATGAGACATTTTAAAATTTTATAAACCACAAAATAAATTTGGTGATTAGCGCTAATTACTTCAGCTTTTAATGGCTTGAAAGATAAAGGATAAAGTTTCAAGAACTTGTTTCAAATAGGTATGCACCAGTTCCAGTTTTTAACTGTGAGAACCGGGACTGTGAGAAATAGAATGTGAGAACTGAAACTGTTACGAACTGTTGAAAAAAAATTTCGACGTCAAGTGAAAAGAAATTTTAAATTGTGTTGAAGAAAATGCAGGTAAAAAATAGCAATGCTTTTTGAAGCTGAAATTTATGAAGTATAAGTAATTGATTATGAAGCTCCTAACGGAACTGGTCCTGTGATTCAAATAATGTGCTGATGTCCTCTATAAAACCTTATGGATAAACATGCAACAGTTTCGGTTAACCGATGGAACCGAAACTGATCATAACCGATAACCTTTAAACCGGAACATTGCTTGGCTATACCCAAGTAAAAATCACCTATGGGAAAAATCTAGATACACTTTGTCTGTAATCGGGCAATGCACGACTACTTGTCATCTAGATTACTAGTTGGAAAACAGACTTTTAACTAGATGCGTCTGCATGTGCAACTAGCAATAGTTAAATCGATCGCTGAACTAGAAGAAATCTAGTAAGCGCCCGATTACTAGATTTCCACGATCGGTACTAAATAGTTGCAATCGAGTAAAAATCTAGTAATCTAGATGAATCGGGCGATACTAGATTTTCTTTTATGCTTGGGTATAATAATCCATTTTGTTGTAACAACAATTCTTTTGCTTCGGATGCAACGGTACCGGTAACAGTATGAAATCTGATGGTACTCTTGAAATTTCATCTCGTTTGTTTGAAAAGATAAAGTCTGCAGTACAACACTGGTACTAAATATATTATATTTGATGTTGCTTACGAGGGAACCTATGGAGATGAAGCACTCCGATTTCGTTCGTTCTTGCGTGGATCGATAGGACATGTGGAGTGGATAAAAGGCCTAAGAGGGTTCGGGCGGAGACTTTCCCCTAGGGGAGTTATGGGCATTTTACGCATTTTCTCACGTCAGCGGAAAACAGGCAAAATTAAAAAAATCACAACTCTGTCCAGGAAAGTCGGAGA